GAGGCCAAGAACGAACAGCAGCGACAAAGATCAAAGTACGAAACCCAGATCCTTCATTTCGAAGGTGCAGAAGAGATGTTACTTGACCTTAGAGATAGCAAAAGAGTCAGAGCCAGTGATGATCCACATAGAGTAAGAGAGCAATAAAACTAGCCGAGGTATGTCTCAGAAACAAAGCAGAGTCGGAAGCAGAAGGATGAAACCCAAGTTCAGTAACAGTAGTCTGAAAGTGATCATACCAAGCACGAGGAGATTGCTTCAAACCATACAAAACATGTCGAAGACAACAAACCTGCCCAGAGGAGTGGAGAAGGCCAGGGGGAGGACGCATATAAACCTCCTCAGTGAGATGGCCATTAAGAAAAGCATTCTTAACATCCATCTGATAAAGAGGCCAAGAACGAACAGCAGCGACAAAGATCAAAGTACGAACAGTAGTCATCTTAGCAACAGGAGCGAAGGTCTCCTCATAATCAATACCATACTTCTGTGAGAAACCTTTGGTAACCAGACGAGCTTTGCAGTGCTCAAGAGAACCATGAGAATGAGTCTTGACTTTGTAGACCCATTTGCAACTAATCAAATTCTTACCAGCAGGCACAGGAACCAACTCCCAAGTACGAGTTTTCTGTAAAGCAGACAACTCATCCTCCATAGCTTGAACCCAATGAGGATCCTGGCAGGCCTCTTTATAAGACTGAGGTTTTGAAAAAGAGTGAATAGCAGACAAAAAAGTACAATAGGAAGCAGAAAAACATGTATTAGACCAACCCAACCTGTTTGGAGGACGACGCTCTCGAGTAGGATATCGAGGGGCAGCAAGATCAGAGTCATCAGAAGTAGAAGGAGTAGCAGTAGGGATAGAGACAATTGGTGGAGGGGAAGCTTTGTGACGAGAATAGACTAACAACAGAGAAGGAGATATAGTCAGAGATAAAATAAGAGGAGAAGTAGGAATAGCCTCAAGGGGGTCAGTGGAGAGGTGCTCAACAGGAGGGATGGAAGATGGAGAAGATGGAACAAGTTCAGAAGGAATAGTAGAGACGTACTCATCAGGGGGAACCTCAAAAGGAAATTGATCAATGTGAACCAAATCCTCTTTGGAAACCGGAGCAGTGGTAGGAAGAAGCTGAAAGTAAGGTAAATGTTCTAGAAAAGAAACATGACAGGAGACATAAAGACGATGGGAAATAGGGTTGTAACATCGATAGCCTTTCTTAGTAGGACTATAACCCAAAAAGACAAAAAGGACAGACCGGGCACTAAGTTTAGTCCTATCTTTGCGGGGGAGAAGGACAAAACAGACAGATCCAAACACATGAAGAAGGGAGTAGTTAGGAATTTGAGAGAACTAAGCCTCATAAGGAGACCGACCAGAAAGAAGGGAACTAGGTATGAGATTGAGAAGAAAAGTAGCAGTAAGAACTGCCTCCCCCCAGAATGGAGCCGGAACTGAGGCAGAGAGAAGAAGAGACCGAGCTGTCTCAAGGAGATGACGGTGTTTACGCTCGGCTCGACCATTTTGGGCAGGTGTATCTGTACAGGAAGTTTGGTGAATAGTACCCAAATTGGCCAAATACTCATAGAATTCTTTTTTAAAATATTCCCCACCCAAGTCAGATCGTAACACTTTAATTGTAGACCCAAACTGAGTAGTAATCATAGACTGAAAAGTACGGTATATCTGATAGAACTCGAATTTATGAGTCATAAGATAAACCCAAGTGTAACGGGTGCAGTCATCAACAAAAGACACATAGTATGCAGAACCCCCTTTGGTGAGAACAGGAGAAGGGCCCCAAACATCAGTGTGAACTAAAGAAAACAGTGTATCAGATAAATAAGTGCTTTTACGAAGAGGTAAAGCTGTCATTTTGGCAAGTTTACACCCCCGACATTCAGTAAGTTCACTAGGAGAAACTTTACCCAAGACACCTGATTGAGCTAAAGACCGTAAGCGATCAACAGACAAATGCCCTAATCTAGAATGTCACAAGGAAAAAAGACTAGACAGAGAATCTAATTGAAAAGAGGAAAGGGCAGTTAGAGAAGTTACCATAGGTAGATGCAAGCTCTCCACCACATAGAGGTCTCCAACTCTACGACCAGTCCCAATCTACTGCTGAGACATCCGATCCTGCATAGAACAGATAGAAGAAGAAAAGAGAACATCAAAACTAGAGACATCAAGCTGACTGATAGATGATAAACTGACAGATAACTGAGGAACATAAAGGACAGATGGAATAGAGGCAATAGATATAGCAGACGGTAGGACAGACCCAACAGATACAACAGACATACCAGACCCATTAGCAGCATTGACAGTAATAAGAAAAGGGGGAGGAGTACAATTTTGAAGTAAAGAGAGATGGAGAGTCATATGATGAGAGGCACCAGAGTCAAAAATCCAAACAGACGAAGAAATACCTGAAGAAGATCCAAGCAAACCTGAATGAAGAGATGAAACAATGGAGGCAGACGGGCATGGCTGGGAGGTAGACAATGTATACTGAAGCTGACTAATCTAAGCACGCAAGGAAGCCAAGTCAGGATCAGGAGTTGGAGCAGATGTAGTAGGACCAGTGGGAACCTGAAAATTACTCGAAGAAGAAGGGCAAAACTGGGTCCGAGACTGCTGAGAAGATAAGCTAAACAGGCATCCCTTCTTGGGACAACGATACTTCCAATGGCCCCTCTAATGGCAGAAGGCACACTCATCCGAAGCCAGAGACATAATAATAAATAGAAAAATGAGGGGTTCAAGTACAATAAAAAAACAATAGCCAAACCAGGGGTTCAAGTGTAATAATCAAAATACGAGGGGTCAAACTGTAATAATCAGGAACTTGTTTGGTCCAATCAAGAATAAAAGAGAACTGGGTAATTTCAGAACTAGGTCACGGCTAAGTGAGATGTCACAGTGGTCAACTTCGAACCACAGAGAGAGAGAGAGAGGGAGAAAAGAGAGAGAAGAGTCGAAGCCGATTGAGAGGAACAAGGCAGACAGTTTCTTCGATTGTGTGAATCGAAGTAGGAGAGGACCAGCGATGACGATGACTCAATTTCACGAGTCCAGTGAGAGATCACGAAGGCAGGAACTAGAGAGACGAACCAGATGACCAGACGAAGAACAACTCAGGGCCTTCACTCGAACCAGATAAACACAGAAGAAGAAAAGGGAGTCACGACCTGCTACTCAGATAGATAAAAACAGAGGGCTGATTTTCGAAAGACAATTTTGATTAACTCAAAGACAACTTCTAGGGTTTCGGTTCAGAGTGGCTCTGATACCATGTAAGTTTTCTGAATGAAACTATATATTCAATTGTGTATATTTACAAAGAATTCATCGGTTTATATAGCCTAACCTATGAAGAAAAAAAGGAAATACAAGGACGGAAAAAGGAAATACAAGGAAAAGGAAATTTTGCCTAATTCCTAATATACATAAGCATCCCATATATACAATATATATTCTCACAAGGTGAGTAGATGGTCGCGGAATAAGAATGGTGCATAGCACTTGGGGAAGGGAAGGTTCATGAACCAATGTGAAGTGCTCAAGTGAGCATCTTCCAAGACAAGGCTTATACCTTAAGGTTGTGGGGTCCACTCCTTAGTGGTCGTATGACCAGTCAAAGAAATTCAAATGCCTATATAATGTAAGAAAGAGTAAAATTATAGGTAACGCTAAGGAATAGAATAAAAAAATTAACACGAGTTAGATAGAGGGAAGACATAGTAATGTGTAGTTTCATAGAAATTGCAGGCCTATACAAAGCATACTACAAAACAATATTCACGTAACCAAGCCCAAAGAGTTGCGACAAGCATATGTTGAGTTAAGCAAGTAAACAATACACAAATCTTTCAAATGTTGCACAATATAACTAAAAGATCATCTAGTCGATAACCATAATATACAAATTCAACAGAGTGCTTGCTGTCATCAACTAGATCTAACAAATAACAAATAGAAAAGCAAAAGCATACCACGTAAGTAAAAATGTACTCCAGTATGACCAACTTCAAAAGAAAGAGATTCCTCCATTATGTTGACCAATTATTGTCTGTATAGAAAAAATGAGATGGTTCTATTACTCCATAATAATAAATAAGCATGGTCACTTTGCAAATGTTGCTCACTCTAGTTCAAGATATTCAAATTTCTTCTAGGACATTTTAATTGTACAAACCATTTAATGTGACCAATTAGAAAATTCTAATCTTAATATAAAAAAAAAACTCCATATATGACCCAATAACTTGAGCAATGAAAAAAATGAGATGGTTCTATTACTCCATAATAATAAATAAGCATGGTCACTTTGCAAATGTTGCTCACTCTAGTTCAGGATATTCAAATTTCTTCTAGGACATTTTAATTGTACAAACCATTTAATGTGACCAATTAGAAAATTCTAATCTTAATATAAAAAAAAAAAACTCCATATAAGACCCAATAACTTGAGCAATGAAACAACCCACTGACTCATTTTACGGGGCTTTTTCCCAAAATAAGCTAAATTAGCAACCTATTTCCCAAACTAGGCCTAGTTTGGGCGAAATTTCCAAAATAAGCTGAAACGCTATTACAAACCACGCTTTCACCGTTTTTATGGCCCAGCCGCTGAAGATTGGTGATATCGTAAAAGTGTGGTTACAAACCATGCTTTTAATTAAGAAGGCGTGGTTACAAACCACGCTTTTAATTAAATTTATTTTCTATAGAAAGCGTGGTTAGAAACCACCCTTTTAAATAAAATTTGATATTTTCAGAAAACGTGATTCATAACCACGCTTTCACTAAAGAAAAGGTGAACAAATACTAACAGAATATCTTTCAATGTGATCTCAATAAGATATCAAGTAGATGAAAAGGGGAAGAACCATATACAATTTGGAGAAAAAATAACACATGAATGAGTGGAACTTCCATAAAACTCATGGTTTCCCTTTATGCTCAATCTCAACAATTATATATATATATATAGAGAGAGAGAATCCATACTTCTCTTGAACCAAACATGTACAGTTTGATGTGCATACATGACTAAGTCGTCAGCTAACTCTGTTCATCGCCAACCAGACCAGCAGATGAAACAAACAAATGCATCGATGAAAGTGTCATAGCCTGGTGGCTTAATTTGTGAAGTTCATTCATTGTTTACTCATATGTCACATTCCAACTTGTGCTCACACTACACAACCCTTGAAACCTTTTATGAGTGCAGTTTCGTCCAAGTTCTGACATTTTCTTTAGTGAAAGCGTGGTTATGAACCACGTTTTTTGAAAAAACCAAATTTTATTTAAAAGCGTGGTTCCTAATCACGCTTTTTATAGAAAACAAATTTAATTAAAAGCGTGGTTTATAACCACGCCTTCTTAATTAAAAGCGTGGTTTGTAACCACGCTTTTACGATATTAAAAGCGTAGTCCTCACTGGTCTTGTTTATTGCTTCCTTGAGTAGAAACACGAAGTCATGTAGCTCCATCTTGTTCTTCTCTATCATAAATCTAGCGGTCGAGTGAGTGAAGAGGTTGCCAAAGGAGTTTTTGGGTGGTTGTAAACCGGTTCTCTCGCGTAAGTCCATTGAAAGGGACAACAGGGAAGGTCTTAAGTACCCGTGTTTCGCTCGAGCAATGTGGATGAGAGTCCTCCATATGAGGGCTGTCAACACAAGGACTCTTGAAGGTTGGCGTTTGGGTGGCGTACCTGATTCAGAGGATGAAGATTTTGTTGGAATTAGATCTAAAATTTTATTGAAAATCAGTTGTATGAAATTATGAACACATTAATACATGAGTAAATAAATAAAAAAATGAAAGTTAAAGAGTATAGGCTAGTTGAAATATTGTCCTAAAACCAAAAATCAAACATCATTTGGTTGTTAGCTGTTTGGTTGCATAAAGTGAAAAAATAAAATAAAAAGAAAATTTATTTTCTTCTTCATTTGGTTTATCAAAATTTTGAAAGAAAGTTAAAAGATATTTTGTAATTTTTTTTTTTACAAAAAAATTGAAACCTAAAACATTAAAAAAATAAAAAAAAAAACCTTGCTTGATGTACACAAAAGTTTTAAAAATAAATAAAACAAAATTAAATAAATATATTTGGTGAGTTGCTGGAGATGGTAGTTGGTGGTGGAGTGTGGACTGTTATAGTGGTTGGTTGTTGGAATTGATGGCCAGAATGTCACAGGATGGTTGAGGGTTGTCGGAATGTGTCTTGAGGTTATGGGTGGTGAGTGTTCAATTACTAGAGCATGTCGAAAGGTGACCAAAGCTCACCAAAAGGTCGGCGGTGGATGGTGGCTAGAGCTAAGGGAGCACAGAAAGAAGAAATTTTTTTTAAAAAAACAAGTAAAAACACTTTTTGTTTTCAAAATTTTAAAATCCAAAAAAAAAAAAATGACAAAACATAGTATATTGAAACCTAAAACATTAAAAAAAAAAAAAAACCTTGCTTGATGTACACAAAAGTTTTAAAAATAAATAAAACAAAATTAAATAAATATATTTGGTGAGTTGCTGGAGATGGTAGTTGGTGGTGGAGTGTGGACTGTTATAGTGGTTGGTTGTTGGAATTGATGGCCAGAATGTCACAGGATGGTTGAGGGTTGTCGGAATGTGTCTTGAGGTTATGGGTGGTGAGTGTTCAATTACTAGAGCATGTCGAAAGGTGACCAAAGCTCACCAAAAGGTCGGCGGTGGATGGTGGCTAGAGCTAAGGGAGCACAGAAAGAAGAAATTTTTTTTAAAAAACAAGTAAAAACACTTTTTTGTTTTCAAAATTTTAAAATCCAAAAAAAAAAAATTGACAAAACATAGTATAACAACAAATCTTTATTTCTAGCTTTAAAAAAAATTAAAATTTAAAACAAAAACACAAAACGAAAATTTTACCAAAGATTGTACAAGAAATTTTACTTTCTTGCATTTTTCTCCCCTAAACAAAATCCCAAAAAATATTTAAAATTTTCTTTTTCCTCTACTTTCTAAAAGGTGTTTTGGGAAGTGGATTAAAAGCCACTTTCCAGCTTTTAACCCACTTCCCTCTCTCACAAAAAAATCAAAAAAAAAATCAAAAAACTGTTTTTAACTATCTTCTCAAAATACTTCTAAGCCTTTCATCCTACCCAATTTTAAATTTAATATTTTTAAAATAATCAAAATCAAACTCAAACAAATGGGAAACTTTTAAAGCTTCCCTCCTCCTTACCCAAAGAAACTCCAATAACTTCGGCTTTCAAAGTTGATATCGTTGCAGCATCGAACACAAACCTCTTAGTGACAAGCTTTTTAACCCCTTGGTCCCTCCGGGGATGCGGCTTGAGGCTAGAAAGTTCTCTCGCTGGAAAAAGAGAGAACCCAACTCGAAACTCGGCCACATTACTTTTTCAATCCCTTCTTTGCTAGCAATTGCCCATTCTTTGATGAATGTTGCCTGTGTAAACCCATCAGTGATTTTGTGTGAAATTCGCATCCCCACTGCAAATCCATCCTGCTCAAACGTATTGATCTGGATGGCGGCTACTGGACTCGGGTTCGAGCTAGCCATGGTCATTGCAGTGGGAGCAAAAGAATCCACCAGCTCAGGTCTTCCATGGACGAGCTCTGCGAGTGAAATGTTATGTACTCGTGCTTCAAAAACTTCAACCCCTTGGTCGTTACAATCAACCAAGAGATCCTCTTTCACATACTTACCTAACATAGAGGAGATGAAAAATGAAAAATAAGATGAAAAAATATGGAGCGAAGTCCAAATATGAATTAATCTCAATTATAGATTGATGTTTTAGGATAAAATTCATAATAAAATTTCCAAATTTGTACTGTTACTAAAAAAAAAAAAGGAGAATAAATATTTCTTTAATGAACTTTTTTTTGGAATTTAAAAAAAAAATACTTTTTAGATTTTTTAGACTAGTTGGACCTATTTGACACATATTTTTAAAAATAAGTCACTAAAACAAATTAAAATAAAATAAAAACTTTCTTAGGTGTAAAGAGAGCCTGAAACGACAAGTAATGTCTTTTTTTAGGTGATCCAAGTACTAACTTGATAACTCTAGTAGCTTCTTTCCATGCTTTGTGGCTAAGGCTTGTCATCCACAATAATAGGTTAAAGAGAAATTAAACTTAAAATTTTATTTTTTTCTTTAAAAAAAATTAATTTGTATAATTAGAAAATAATTAATAACTAACACTATTATATAGTAAATGAAGTATGTCCAATTGCCCTTTTAAGTCCATCTTTGTTTACCTGCTAGCGGATAAAAATGTGTTAAGATCTCAGAGAGTGACTTCTCTAACTTGAGCTTCTTGACATTGTCATTCTCAACTTCAACTTCATGGTTTTTGTCATTTGAAAGGAAGAAGAAGACGATGCCGGGATAGGCGGGAGGAGCGAGCTGATTGAAGAAGGAAAGCTTGTATTTTCGATGGGTAGGGGCTGTTGGGAGTGATGGTTTTATGAACTTGCTGGAGATGATTTCAACCTTCATTTTCATCAAATTTTCTAGATTTCTCGTGATCATGAATGGCAAAGATGCCATTACGTGATATATATACTTTAAAATGTTGATCTGTCTAACATTCAAATGTTTGTCACATGGGTGGGGGTTGAAGAAGAATGGTGGATATATGCAGATATAGGTATGGCAATTATGGCAAGCGTTACACTTTGACCCGAGTAAATCGACACTCGGGGCCCACCTAAAAAATAGACCGAACTTAGGAAAAAATTCTGGTTTTATCCAGAATTTTATAACCATTTCCAACAGATTTCAACCTTCATTTTCATTAACTTTTCTAGATCGCTCATGATCATGAATGGCAAAGATGCCATTGCATGATATATATATATATATATTTAAAAATGTTGATCTGTCTAACATTCAAATGTTTGTCACATGGGTGGGGGTTAAAGAAGAATGGTGGATATATGCAGATATAGGTATGGCAATTATGGCAAGTCTCACTAAGTTGGACATCTATTTATTTATTTTTGGACCACATGTTATTGATGTTCATGTGTTGTCCGTCCTAACAGGGTTGTTGCGATATATGGCACACGTCGTGCTGTGAGATTATCTGTAATCCCATGATTTGATTTATTATTTTTTTTAAAATTGTTAAAATCATGTTAATTGTTATTTAAAAGAAAAAGAAAAACAAATGTGATCTTATTATGGGGTTACAAATGTTCAATTAATCTTAGGGGTGGGCGCGGGTCGTTTGCGGCCACGGAACCTCCAATCCGCCATCCGTCCGCCAAATTGGCGAATTGGAGAAAATCAATCCACATCCGTCCGCCAATCCAGCGGATGCGGATTGAGCGGATTAGCGGTTTGGCGGATGGATGCGAATCGGTTTGGTGGTTTGAAATTTTATAAATTTTCAACATAATTCAACTTGTGCACTTCCTCAAAAAAAAAGAAAAGAAAAAAGAAAAGAGTATTACAGTCAATGACTTAAAAAAGTATTACAATTACTACATACCTCATCCAAAGAAAGAAAGTTTGAAACTTTAGAATATCACAATCACTGCATGCCTCATCCACATATTACAATCACAGCATGCCTTATCCACATAAAGTATTACTATCTGTTGCTCTTAAAATATAAAAACAATTCAAACCACCAAAACCATGAACAGAACAATAGTAGAGATTATGTCTCTGTATTGTTACATTTATATATGTTTTTGAAAACAAAAACCAACCACCATATATTATATTTTCTATTTATTACTTTTAGAGTTAGATTTAAAAACCAAAAAATATAGATAAATAATACGTTTATTTTTTTCAATTTAAAAAATATATTCAAGTTAAAAGCTTTTTTTCAACAGAATATTTGAATTCTTTTTCAATTGAAAACACAAACAAAATATTTAAACAAATTGAAAACACAAAGTCTTATAAATTACTAAGGGTGCCCGCGGTTTGGCGGTTCGGTTGCGGCCAAAGGAACCTCAAATCCGCCATCCGTCCGCCAAATTGGCGGATTGGAGAAAATCAATCCGCAACCGTTCGCTCGTCATCACGCATCCGTCCAAAATGCGGCGGATCGGTTCGGTTCGGTCGATTTTGGCGGATCGGTATATCCGCTGCTCACCCCTAATTAATCTGGTTTTTTATATAGATGATCTACTCGATAAATTTTACAATAAAAACGATTCAGATTATTGAAACATGCCTAAGACAAACTCTCACAGTGTAACGCCCTCGAAAAAAATAAATATAAGGCCCAACTTAGAAGAGTAGGAAACAAGACATCAATACATATATTCCATTCATTTGAGATTGTATTACAAAAGGGTAAAGCATGCATCATACATTCATAAAAATCCATCATGAATCTACAGCATGTAATACCGTTAAAGTTTACAAGTAAATGTCCTACGAGCTTACATCTTTCCAAGTCTTAACTTGATATGTTTTTGAAAACAAAAACCAACCAGCATATATCATATTTTCTATTTATTATTTTTAGAGTTACATTTAAAAACTAAAAAATATATATATGAATAATACGTTTATTTTTTTCAATTCAAAAAATATATTCAAGTTGAAAACTTTTTTTCAACAGAATATTTAAACTCTTTTTCAATTGAAAACACAAATATAATATTTAAACAAATTAAAAATACAAAGTCTTATAAATTACTAGGGGTGCTCGCGATTTGGCGGTTTGGCGGTTCGGTTGCGGCCAAAAAATCTCAAATCCGCCATCCGTCCGCCAAATTGGCGGATTGGAGAAAATCAATCCGCAACCGTCCGCTCGTCATCACGCATCCGTCCAAAATGCGGCGGATCGGTTCGGTTCGGTCGGTTTTGGAGGATCGGTATATCCGCTGCTCACCCCTAATTAATCTGGTTTTTTATATAGATGATTTACTTGATAAATTTTACAATAAAAACGATTCAGATTATTGAAATATGCCTAAGACAAACTCTCACAGTGTAACGCCCTCGAAAAAAATACATATAAGGCCCAACTTAGAAGAGTAGGAAACAAGACATCAATACATATATTCCATTCATTTGAGATTGTATTACAAAAGGGTAAAGCATGCATCATACATTCATAAAAATCCATCATGAATCTACAGCATGTAATACCGTTAAAGTTTACAAGTAAATGTCCTACGAGCTTACATCTTTCCAAGTCTTAACTTGGTTACACAAAAGATTAATTTTATACACCTTAAGCCCTAGGCTTTACAAAATACACAAAAAAAAGGCTATAAAGCCCTTACTTCCAAAAAGGGTCCTCCCATGCTATTGCCTTGGTGGAGGCATGCCCTCATTACCTGAAATGTTATTCCCAAATAGGGTGAGCCACAGCCCAGTAGAAATTATCTAATACAGTATATGAATTTTAGCAAGGGTATAAGTACATTATACAACCACAATCATTAGTGACCAAGATGTTCACCACTATGTCATCATAAGGTGCCAACTCCCTTTCCGTTTCATTATATAGACCAATTTCATTATCTTTTCAACATTTTAAATGAGACTACAACTCAATGATGCATGAACACTTCAAACTTTACTTTCACGGAAATTTCGTCCGCGGGCTGCCGTCAAACAGGACCCATGTAAACATAGGCTACACAAGCACTACAATTGTTTCACGGAAATTTCATCCGCGGGCTACCATCAAATGGGACCCATGTATCATTTCGGGACTTGCACCCAGGACACTCCGGCCAACTTAATTATCATGGAGGTCTACCCCTTTCTCCTTCCACATATCATCAATGCATATGCAATGCAATTTAAACACAACATCAAACAACGGAGCACTCCCCCTTGCTACTCCCACATAATCATACATATACAATGTAAATATATACGTAGTCATATTCAATGACAAACAATAATAGATTAGTTTCAATTTACCCAATCCTCATACAAAGTCTACAACAATTATAGCTATCCTCCACCGATAGCCAAAAACAGTTATTTCTAAACAGATATTCAATCTCATAACAGGTAAATTATCCAAATTTTCCAACAATGTGAGGTACTACATACATGATTTCACCATCTATCCCAATATTTGCTCAAATTCATGTTTACAACATCAACGTCAATTATTTATACAAAATAATTATGGTAATCGTTTTAGGGTAAAACCCCATCTTTTAAAATATTGATCCCAATGCCGAATCCACCAGATTAAACATCTCAAGGCCTCATTCTCAAGCCCTATACTCATTTATTCTACTTTTAGCCCAAATCCCTCTTTTTACTATTCACCCAAACCCTAGGTTTGTCCCAAACGTTTCCAAACTTCACCATTTTTACACAAGGACAAATAACCAAGCTAAAAATCATATAAAAGTGTAGAAAATCCCTACCTCAAAGAGAAAAGACGAGTTGAGCAAGAGAGAAACTCCAAAAGTGGCGAAATTAACTTGCACCCGGATGAAAATGAAGAGCTTGAAACCCTCTACCTTTTTGATGAAAGCACTAGGGTGTATAGAGCACTAAATCTAGGTGAAATCTTAGAGAGAAGGTAGGTTTTAGAGAGAGAGGCTCTCAACTTTGGGTTTTGAAATGAAAAGATGTGAAAAAGTGATCCAAAAAGTGTTTTTTGCGATCTGAAATACGCACAGTTCGCTCGAGCATCAAACACAATAAGTTGTTCCGCTCAAGCGCAAGAATGGCCGCTCGAGCGCCAAGACACAACGAACAAGACGATCACCGCTCGAGCGCAAGAATGGCCGCTTGAGCGTGGATAACACACTTCCAGTATTTTTGCAGACGACAGACCAACGCTCGAGCTCAAGAAAGGCCGCTCGAGCGCCAACCCGCTCAAGCGTAGAAAACATCCTTCTAATATTTTTTTGCAAACGCGCAAAGTACTGAAGGCAAGCAATTCACGCTCGAGCGCAAAAAGGTCCGCTCGAACGGAAGACCAAAAATCTAGGCAGCAACAAAGGGAAAAAACAAGGCAACCAACCTATTCCAAATGCAAACACAACAATCCAAATACCAAACTCAAGAGATACAAGGGAGGAAAGGAAACAACAACAATATGAGAGCATGAAACCGGAGCCCGGAATACCATACATGAGCTGGGTCAAAACTAGGATCGCTATACACAGGCCTTAGATGACATAACAACAACCTCAATTCTTATTGTAACTTGATTTTTATTGGTTCAGATAATGAGACTCAATACTTTTATATTGAATTTTTAGAAACAACATAACAAGTATCATGTAATAAATAGTGTGGAGTACTGTTCTAAAACTACTAAATAATCTCTCATATACAATGACCATCCCTATAGCATGATCAATGTTTGAAAAACATCTATGTCAATATGTATTCATTTTAAATTTAATTGTCAAGGAAAGTTCACATACATAGATTGCATTTGACATACAGTTAAAAATGTCACATTTTAAAATTGTCAAGGAAAGTTCACATACATAGATTGCATTTGACATACAGTTAAAAATGTCACATTTTAAATTATTTTATTTTTTTAATAATTTCTTTTTTTAAAATTATGTCAATTTTTTAAAAAACTTCTTAGGTCTGTTTGG